AATAACAGCACCCACGTCACGGCACGGAGCACGGCGACGCGCGCGGAGCACAAACACTTGACACCTGTCCGAAATTCATCGGGAGAATGATTGAGTAACATATCCGCGGGTAACGGTATTCCGAGCGTCGGCGACGAAAACAAGTAGCAAGGCCGTCTCGCCGATGGAAACAATCGTCCGCGCGTCGACTTTGAACGTACGCTGCTCCGAAATCGGCGGATTCGTTCAACGGTCGCGGGCGTCGCGGCATCGTGACGACCCTGACGACGTGACTGCCGAGTGCCGCGCCGGCGCGCGGCTGCGCAGCGCGGCGGGCGGCGAGAGCGGCCGAACGTGATTCGGCCGGATTCGGAGGCAATCGGGGGCTCGTCGGCTTGACTCGCCGCACAGCGCGCGCGCAAGTAATTGAAGTAATACGTTACTCGTTGAATGTCGGTACGATTCGCGGCGAGACGTTGTCGCTCGAGTAAATAATTTCTTTCTCGTGAATCCTCCGGTTACAGAGTGTGTGTTGCAAGCTGAATGTAAGTACGCCGAATATTCTGTATTCTGTTTCTTCTCGTGTCGACTGCAACGTCTGCAACGAGTGGGATGGCTGAAACGGACGCCCGTACGCATCACCCTCCCGCTCCTCCTGTGATTTGACGGGTCTTCAGCAAACTGCAATGTGCCGTGAATGCCGTGATCGCTAAGTGAGTTGTGCATTGAGAGACAAATGATTCGAAGCGCGATACATCCGGATCTTTAATAGAATCGTTGTTCCGCGTGTCGCAGTTAGACGATAACCTCGGAATTCGTGTGGTACGTGTCTCTTGTTTTTGCCTCCGTTTCGATTTCTACTTCGAATGAGTGTGTATCGCGTGGAAAGACGCTTCGGTGAATAGCTCGAGCCTCTCATTGAGCACGGGAACTAATTATCTATTGAGTGGTTAAAGAGAATGATCGCGCGTTTGGCTTTCTCATTTTTGCTCGTCGCGATCGCGAACGATCAAGGGAGCGAGCTTGCTCCAAAATGCGTATGATTGTCGAGAGTGCGAATTAACAAGCTCAAACGTGCAGTGTATGCGAATACAATTCCGTTTTTCGTTCAAAAACAGACACGTAATTTGCTCGTTCACGTAATTCACGTAATTCGTTACGTTTACAAATGTTTCAAATTTATTTGTATGTGCTCCTAATCTAACTTGTAGAAAATTAACATTAAATTGTATCGTTTGTAAAAATTTCGTCGCGTTCTTGCAGCGCAGTGATCGCGCATATCATAAAAGACGATAAACCGTCGTCAAGATACTTAAAAATTATAAAACTTTCTCTGTTGCTTGTTCCCCAAATTATCTATATGTTAAATATATATATATAATAGTAATAGCCCCCTCTCCCTCTCATTTTTTCTATTTCCGACACTGCACTGTAATGTATATATATTATATATTTGCAGATATAGATGTAGCACGGAGGCGCACCAAAATGATGTTTTATCAGCAGTGTCGGAAAATGGACGTGGTTATATGCTATTACACTCTACGGACATAGCACGGAATAGAACCAATAATCATATAAGGTAAAGGTACCACTACCCAGACGCTTGAGCATAGGAAATGTACCAATACCTGGACACATATCTGTGTCTGGATGCTTTTAAAAAAATATAAATATATGAAAATAAACGTTTGGATATTATAACTGCAGTTTTAAACTACAAGAAAAAATACTTTTATCTTTGATTTTAATTCGCGTTATACTTATAAATAATAAAGGTGTCCGGATATAGGTACATGTCCGGGTATTGATACCTTTACCTCACGTATCATGGAACAGAATCATGGACATAGTGTGTTACCCATCGGAAATATATTCGTGGCTACGTAGTTCAATGTGCACGTTTTGTGCGCATAGAGGCGCCAGTAAACAGGTTTCTATCTAAAACATAAGTATTATACGCATCCACTCTCAGACTTCTCTCCATTTAAACCAAACTCCGATTAATTATCAAATAATGCAATTGGATAATAAGGATAGGATTTCAATTGTATGCTAATACATAGAAAGAAAAATTACATTAAGAGAGACGTCAATGAACAAAAACCGTAAGCAATTTTGTCGATTGAATTAATCGCTAATTAAGTTAATCAATTTAGTTGGAGGATCCCCGACTGA